GGGCCGGTGCTCCGTTTACCACAACCGATACCCCACGCTGTGCAGCGTCACCTGTGATCAGGCGATCACACATGGTCTGTGGGGCCACATGGTGCGAGCACAATGGGTGACCGCCTGGCCTTTCGTCCACCACGATAGCGGCCGCGCGGTCATGCACAGAGTTGCAGAGGAGGAAAATGATCTCTTGCTGATTATCACTAAGGGCTGGCTGCCCCGCTGCCATCATCAGGAAGAAGGGCCCGTCATACGGGTAGCCTTGTGCCAGCACTTCTCGAATCAGTCTTTCAAGGATCGCATCTGCTTGAAGACATGGAGCTTGGACAATGGCACTGTGCGTGTGTGGGCCATACATCATTGTGAATCTGAAAGAGCCAACCTCCGGGTTGGGACCCGTGGAGGGGGTGGATGTAGTGGAGGAAGTCGAAGAGGGCCCATCAACCGGCCAGAAGAAGGGAGCCGGATGAGTTCCCCATGGGTCAACCAGAGCAGGCACAGCTAAGCCGGTAAAGGCTGGCTCGACCACAAAATGCTGTACGAGGGATCGCATCCCCGATGATGCCGGCGGCATCCAGAGCCGTGAAGTGCCCTGCTTTGAGGGGGTCGCACACTCTGCGTCCCTCCACATCAGTCATGACTGCACGCAACCTAGCTATGGCATCAAGCCTCGATTCCTGTGGCTTGTGGTTGACCGTGAAGATCTCACCACCAACAGGGCGGAGGTCCCATGGAATGGGCACATAGCCAATGGGTAGATGGCGTTGGTACAGGACCAGTTGCGGCTGTGGTAGGCTGCGCAGGCCATGCATGAGTACTTGTACCGCACCAACCTGGAAAGGAGCTGCGATCACTGCAGATCGAATGATCTCAGCTAGCGTGCCTTCTCGGGGCCTTGGGGCAGTGGTGACATGACGCACAACATCAAAGATTGTGAAAGATTGTCTGGGTCCTCCGTCTGTGCCCCATGAGTAGGCATCCACATTGGCTTGCTGGAACCTATCTGTCTCTAGGAAGCCTGGGACTACCTGCGGTGCATCACTGTGGGTACCTGGCCTGGACGGCTTAGCCTCCGCCCCAACATGGCGGAGCAGCAACGACGGCGGCTCTGCCTCTGGGAGTACCGGTGGTACAGCTGGGAGGTCAGGTGCAAGGCCAAGGCCACCAGCCTGCATAAGGGTGGTGGTGGTGGTCGAGAAACCTCCAGCGGAGGCACATTCTGCGGCCCTCATGGCCACGAGGCGGCTCGAAAGCAGGAAGCGGCCTAGGAACCCGAAAAACCAGGGGACCCCCGCCTACATACTCAACGACGAAGGGCTCTGCAGCGTGGTCAGCTGGACGAGCTTCGAACCATTGCAAGTCAGGCAGGGAGTTGATGTGCTGCTGCTCTTGACCCGATTGGTCGATAAAGAGTAGGTTGCCAGAGCGGGTAGCCTCCTCAGCTCTGTGCGCATCCTTGACCCCTTTTTCATGCAGAGAGGGCCAGATGGCTGACACATCACTGCCTCTGGCAGCCTTTACAACATGTAGCATGCCTTGCATAGCCCGAAGATCTATGGGAACAGTGCGGTGTCCCACAGGCAGACCAACGGGCGTGAGCAAGATCTGCGGGCATGGGTATCCCGGGATGGGGACCTCAAGGAAGAAAGCCGAGTGCACGCGGTAGGGCACTTGCCTGATCGCGTGCGCGACGTATTCCATGGGACTCCACTCAGGCAAGGAGCGCCGCACTATATGGTGTCCATGCGAAACTCTAGGATCGTATACCTGGAATCCGGATCGTTTGCACTCGATCCTATGCCAAGGCGGGTGAGGTCGTAGGCCCGGGAGTGCAAAAAGGGGCCACCCAGCCAGTCAGGGCCAACATTGACATGAGAGGCCAAGATCATGTGCAGGTCTGTGACACTAGGCTGCCCAGGAGTGGCGCAGATTGTGGTTCGCCCAGCAGGAGCGTTGTAGGAACCTGCCGGGGACAGAAAGAAGCGCCAAGGTTCGACATGGAACCGTCCTTGCAACGCTTGGTGGATCCGTGGCCGGATTCTGGCCATCGATGGTGGCTGAGGCCAGGTGCAGTGTGAGCCACAGGCTGCACAGAGGGCTGGCAAGGCTGACCTGTGGTGCACGTCCACGACGGCACACACTGCAGGAAGTGTGGTCGGCCAGGTGCCGCGAGGTCCCCAGAAGGGCAAGGAATGGCCAGATCTCGACCGTTGGGGATCGACATGGAACCGCCCCAAACGGTGCATGGAATGGCAGAAGGGGAGGCGCACACGGTGCTCGCAACAGACGGCACACGCGATGAGGCATGAAGCAGAGCGGCGGATGGTGGCCGCCGCTCGGTACACGGGAAATCGAAGTCGTGCAGGCCACCGCCGGGGATCGACAGGGAACCGCCCCGAACGGTGCAAGGGAGTGCCGGAAAACAAACAGTTGGATCACCGCCAAGGTTCGACATGGAACCGGCCTTGCAACGGTATCCAACGGCGGCCGACCACTTGAAGCACTCACCGGCCAGCCCTGCAAGTCGATTGAACGCCCTGGCGAGCGCATTGCCCCAAGCATTCGCCCCTTTAGAGAACACAACCGAAAGAGGTACAGAATGCGGTCGTTGCTGGAACGCGGATCTTAGCTCCCCGGAGCCCGGACCTGTACAACGATCGCCCCCTGTTATGTCACGGAAAATCAGGCCATGAGCAGCCTCACTGTACACCTCATACGCCAACGCTGTCGTCGAAGGAATACAGTGGGCTGTCGCATGGAAAGCATGGTCCCCGAGTCCAGTGTGCTCAAGACCCTGAGATCCGGAGCACACCTGCTGCAAAGGTTCCGCCTCTCCATGCCATTGACAACCCAGTACATCAGCCTGACGGGCAGATTCAATCAGTCGGTCAGGAGTGCCGGGGGTGAACTGGCAATCGATGCCGTCGAAATCCAGTTCCGCTTCGAGCTGAATCGCGCTCCACCGTGCTTCGAAAGGCGGCGTAAAATCCCATTCCTGTCCAATGGAATGGCTGTATTGCACGGTGGGCAGGTGCATCGGCCCCATGATATCCATGTGGCATATCATGAGGCCTTGCCAGGGACCGAAGACTCGGCTACGTGCTTGGCGTCCTTGGCATCTCTGGTGTCCTTGGCGGAGGTGTCGGGGTTGTTGCGAGAGCGCCGCGGCGTACGCTCTCGGTTCTCCTCTCTCTGGACCTTCTCGTTGGCGGCCTGCTGCACTTGCGCCAAGGCCTCCAGCAGCTGCGCACCCTGCTGCTGTGACCGCGCTTCCAGCGCCTGCTGCCGCTGCTCGGCCTGGAGAGCGGCATCCACCCTCTCCTCCGAGTCCATCATGTCCTCCTCGGAGCTGATCTCTGTGGTCGGCTCGCGAGTCATCTTGGCCAGAGCGGCCGTCGCTTCGGTAAGCGCTCCTTCCCATTGCTCCTCCTTGGCCGCAAAGTCCTGTAGCATCGCCCCGTGCTCTGCCACTTGATCCTGTAGCGTCTGGGACACCTTGGCAACATAACCGGCCCAGGTCTGAACATAGGCTGACCTGGCCGATCGTAGTTTGGCGAGCTCCTTTTTCGCATTCGCCTGACTGGCCACCACGCGATGCATGGCACGTGCATCGTCTTTCGTGGCCTCCTGTTGATGTTGCTCCAAGAGGTCGCGAAGCGGCTGTGTCAGCTCCGCCTCGTTGGCCTTCAAGGTTGCCATCAGCTTGTCCAAGGCAACCTTCTCCGGATTGGACGCACCCTTTCCACTGGGTGCCATAGGAGCTGAAGGTCCAGCATTGGGAGTCCTCGTCGGCGGCTTGGGCAACTGGTCCATGTCCGGCACCCCTGGCTTGACCTTGGGGGCCGTCTCCGTGCCGTCCTGCGGCTTGCCCTTGCCCTTGCCGTTGCCCTTTGGGGGCTTCCTTGGCGACTTCGGTCGCCGAGATCTTGGCGACCAGGCCCGTTCCCAAGGGCCCTGGCCTTCTTGGGCCCACTGTTTGGGTCCCCGGGCGTGTGAGGAGTAGCTGTGTTGAGCTTGCCAGCTCGCCCCACACGTCTGGCAAAAGTTCGCTTTTTGGCGAACTTGCTTCTTGCATTCGTAGCACCACCATCCATTTCCTTGAGCGGCTGCCATTGTTGCAGCGGCCCGGTGCGCGGTCGCACTCACCAGAGTGCTCCGGCTGTGGTGTAGCTGTAGTCTGCGCCTGGCCTTTGTAATGCTGCTCGCCGAAAGCGACAGCAGCCCACTTAGCCAAGCCCTGAGCTGAAACCTCGCTCGCGTGCGTTGCCTCCGGCCGCGCCGATGCCAGGCCGGCTCCCCAAGAGCCGTTGCAGTCACCAGCTGCCTCACAGCAAAGCAGAATAACCAAGGCCCAAAAACCCTTCACGGGCATAAATCGGGGCCAGCAGGCCTCTCCAAGCCTCAACCAGGGCAAAACCAGATCAGTTGAGGTATGAGGGCCAAAAGTGGGAACAATGAATCCAGCCACCAAGAAGGTGGGGAATGCAGAATCCGACCCTCGCCGAGCGTACAGGTGGATCTGATATGGCGTGGGCACCCGCTAAGGGGCCTCACCTAGGGTCCGTGGCCTCGGGCAACTACAAGCCCCTGAGCCACAACGCCTGGTTTAGGGGTTTAGGGTATAGGGCTGAAGGATGGACGGGACGTCCGAAGTCCGAAGGGACTGTGCTTTTGAGTCTGATCACTCACAAGGTCCCGCGCATCCACATGAGAACAAAACAACCAGGAGAAAAAGATCACCAGGTTTTTCCCGTACTTTATGTCAGCTGACACAACCCTGAGCCCTTTTGACGTATTCGAGTAGGCGTCTCGCACTTCGCCAGGCTGGCTTTCCCGAGCACATGCAGAAAGAAGCAGTAACCTCTAAGACTTGAAGCCGTTCGCGGACCTCTTTTTGGGGGTCTGAATAACCCAAATCCTAAACCCTACAACCCGATGGTAGACCTCCATAGGTGCTTGAGAGTATGCTCATATAAGGCCTCAGCCAATCTGCAGAGCAAAGAGAGGTCGCCAACGTGTGCGGGAGAACAGGGATCGGAACACCACGTGGGTGGCCGTGGAGCGATGGCTGGATCTGTGGCTCGTCTTCATGTCTAGATCTGATGGCCATTTGAGGTTAGAGTTCAGCTCCAGTCTGTGGGGGGGTTTGGTGCCTCGGAATGTGTACTAAGAGGTTCCGGATGTTTTTTGATCTCCTTTCAATTTCAGGCTTCTGTTGAGGGTTCCCATGCTCCTGCAACTCGGTATCCTGCACCCTAAACCCTCAACCCCTAAACCCTAAACCTGCTGTAGTCCGACAGCTCTTAGAAAGTGCCATGCTGAATGACCCTTTTTCTATTTTCCTTAGGATAGTTGTTGGTTTTTGTTTGGCGTGTGCTTCTTTCTTAAAGTCTTCTGAGAGAGGTAGAGACCTATGTAAAGGACAGCCGAAACCAGTGTGGAAACAGCAGCCTCGGCAGAGGCCTGCAAAGCAACACCATTGAACAATCGATTCACCTAAGCTCACCTAAACTCCAAACTCTGGACACATCAAGCCTTACGGCCCTAAAAACCCTATATCCTGAACCCTCAACCCAGGACCCCTTAAACCTTGCGGCCTAAACCCCTACAGCCCTTCTTGAGCTTGAACCTGCCAGGGTTTAGGCTTTAGGGTTGCTTTTACCACGCACACACACACACACACACACACACACACACACACACACACACACACACACACACACACACACACACACACACACACGCGAGCCGAAGAAAAGTTTTGTGGGCTTTATGGCGAGGACAGGGGCTTGGAGTCGAACTAGGGGTTTATAGAAGGGATTGTTGGGGGTTTCACGGTTTATTCAAGTTTGCAGGTGTTGGGTTTTTGGTGAATGTTTGGATCAATCAAGGGCTTCACGCGTCTTGGTGGAATCTGAGGCCTCTGTGTGATGACTTCCAGAAGCCTTGGCAAGAAGTTATAGTTCAGGGTGCAGGGTTTGGGGTTTGATTATCGATGTTTCCCCTCCATTTCGGGAGTGGTGTTTCGGGTTTAGAGGCATGACTTCTGACTTTCCCCGACCGACTTCCCAAGCCCGGATGAAGAAAAGGGTCTTGGATAGAGCACTTCTGGTCATGTTCTTCGCTCCAGGCTGCTGCTTTCAGATCACAGAGCGCAGCAGGTCTCCTATGGTTTTGAGTTTAGGGTTTCCCTTAACATGGCGGAGATGGGGGGGTTCTTTGAAATTCTCTCCTACGGGGCGTAAGTATGCATGAAGCTTCAGTCATAGTGCAGCCCAGGGTTTCATCAGCATGGGGATTACAGGCGCTAGGGTTTAAGGTTTTAAGCTTGGACCTTTAGGGTTGCCGCTGCACGCACGTTGGCCATCCTTTGGGAAGGTATGTCGTCGCGCTTCGAGAGCCTGTGATGCGTACGCTGCACCTCGACCTGCCTTCCTTGACTACGACTACTTCTGCGTTTTGGGGCTTGCTTTTCGGGGTTTAGGGCTTAGAGTTTAGGGCATACCCCAAGAAATTTGGAGCTTAGGGGCTTAGAACGCTAAGGGATACCCGGAAGCTTTACGTGGGAGTCCTGGAGAAGCGGTGAGGACATCTGGAGTGGAATCTAGCCCCGGGTATAGGGTTTAGGGTTGCAGGTGCCAAGGCAAGCCTTGAAAAGCCCATGTACAACACAGCTCAAGCTACAGCAGCGAAATGATACAAGAAGTTGAAGAATGCTCAGCAAAGCAGAAACAGAAGTAGCTGCTGTATTTCCGCAAGCCCAATTACCGATGCGACCGTATTGCAGTGACTCATTATGTAGGTTAACTGGCTGAACCATCATCCAGACGCAAGAAGATGCAAGACGAGGGCCTGGCCAGGAGTGTGCAGCCCAGCTTTTCTAGGACCTGTAGATTCTTTGGCTGAGGATTTTCCCATGGAATCTCCCAAAACCTCACGCCTAGGCATCAATTTTCGCACAAGCTCTCTTACTTCCGACCCTCGGCGGCTACTTGTGCCTGTCTCGAGGCAGCCAAGCAACATCCGAGCAACATCCGGTCGTCAGGAGTAGGGTTTTGGATGAAGCATGGAGAGGCTTCGTGCGTGCAGCAATTTTCTCGTTCTGGCTTTCTGGCACCCCAGCCACCTAGATCGTGTCAGCTAGATCGAGCGTTTTAAGCATTTACCGGTAATATAGGCCCTTTAAATTTGCATAAACTCAGCCCTAAACCCTAAACCCTAAAGTGACGGCTTCACACCCAGGAGACTTCTTGCCATCGGGAAGGCTTCCTTGGCAAGCTGCCAGATGTGAGATCGAATTCGGGGCCTTTCCGCGCGTTTGGTTCAAGGGCTGCCGCAGGAATATGTGATTCCTTGTCCTGGATTTCGCGGGTAGGCTGCAGCCTTGGCATTGGTCCAGCTTCTACTTTGTCAAAAACATCGACTTAGAACATCCGTGTGCAGTGTGGATTCTCAGCCCCGGTAGCGTTGTTGTCAAGCGCACGCCGCAAAGCATCATTATCATGATTGATTGAATACGGCTGAGACGAACACAACGACGATCACGATCACAAGGACGACGACGACGAGCACGACCATCACGGCGACGACTACGACGCCGACTCCGATACTGCTTTATTATTACGACGACGACGACGACTACTGCCGACTACTACACTCTGCCAGCTGCTGCAGCAGTTGCGACGAGTTGCACCACCCGATTCGTTCACAATGCTGCAGTCAATTCCAGCATTCAGGTATGAGCAGGTCGAGAATCTGGAAGATCAGCTTCGCTCGCTGTGGAACTACGAGGATTGAGATGTTTTCTTGTCATCGTCATTGCATGTCCCATCCATCCAGGTCACATCTCGACCATGCTACTGCAAGAGGTTTCGAGCGGTCAGGCATGCCTCTCAGTCTTCCGTTTCGTCATGCCATGAAGCGTCCCTCATGTGGACCTTGCCATCGGGTTCTTCCCGCATGCCAAAAATTTCCTGAGCCTGGCATGGATAGTGCATGGCCAAACTACCTCCTTTTGGCACGAGGAGCTGGGCCACTTGCTTAGAGGGCGGCACCGTTCGCGTCTGCTTCTGGGAAAGGAACCATGGATTCTCTTGGCACGCTTTTGTTTGTTGAAGGCGGCTACCTAAACCCTTATGTGTGAGGTAATTTGGACCCGTATAGGACAAGGGAGCGGTGCGGTGGAATTGAATGCGCACATGGTTTCAGGTCGAGTCTGTGAGAGGCAGAAGGAAAGCCAGGAACGAATGCAGGAAGCATGCAAGTAAAGTCGTGAGGTATAAAGGTGGGAGTATGCTAAGCCCTTTAGTTACCCTACTGCCCTACTTGCTACGTAGCCTCCAATAGCCTTCCGGTATGTGAGTTCGTCCTGGGGAGTTAACACAGAAACCAATACTTGTAACAAGAAGTGCCGGCTGAGGAGCTGCCAGACAATCGAAGCTTGTCGTCGGAGAGGTGGCCAGCGCCCTGAGCAGCGAAAGAGGTTCAGGTTGTGAAGCTTTGGCCATGGGTCTGCCACCACCACCACCAACACCACCACCACCACCGGAAACGACGACTACGACGACGACTACTACTACGTCGTCTACGCCTGCGTCAACGTCCACATCTGCATACTTCTACTTCTACATCTTCTACTTCTATTTCTACTTCTACTACCGCTGCTTCTACTACCCCTGCTGCTTCCACTTCTAGCTTCAGAAATCCTAACCTCCTGGTTTTTTTTAATACTATACATGTAACTTATCATTCTCTCCATTGCGGTTCCTGTATTTTGTTGTGTCCGTTTCAGAAACAATGCGACGCTTGAATGACACCGCCACGGCGACAAGAAAGTACGATGTACGAATGAGCTTGGCCTGATCACGTGGGCTGTCTCCTTCTCGGCAAGAGTTTGGTCTCTCTCCGTCTCTCTCTCCAGGGTTCCTCACCCTGTATGTGGCGATGCTTGTTCAGAGTGTTACTTCGAAACTCCATGGCCACAGGCGCACTGACTCACCGGACGTTTAGCTCCACAATCTCAGCATGCAGTAGGCAAACCTGAACGGCTGCATGTAGGCCAGACGTGGAGTAGCATTTGCTTTACAGTCGGGGTTCGGGTGAGTGGACACACGGCTCCTTCTGTATTTGGGCGAGTCTGTCTTCTCGGTGCTATGGTGGGATACTAGTACCGAACACCCCATCTCGTATCATCCCGAAAGGGCATTCTTCAGCTCCCAAGCAAGACGCTCTTGAAGCAACAGTCAGGTCTCGAAAGTGAGTAACTAAACATGTGCCCTTGTAGTCCACGTATCCCCCAAAGCCCTATATCCTACGAATTATGGCATTATTATGGCTATTACCCCGAAGCCCTAAATATCCTACGAATTATGGCATTATTATGGCCATTACCCCGAAGCCCAAAATCAGAAAGGTCGACTGGCTGGAGCTTTGGATGGGGATGTCCAGCAACTACCAGGCTCTTCCCACAAGCTTTCAGGGGCTTTTGCGGTGGAGTTTAGGGTTTAAGGGTTTAGGGTTTAGGGTTTATGGTTGGGTTAGGGTTTAAGGTTTAGGTTAGCCCCAAAAGGCCTCCTTGACACTACCTCTTCATTGTAGGGTCCCCTTTGGGGCTTATTAGATTGATGGTTCGCGTAGTGAGACCCGACGATAATGTACAAACAAGAGTGTAAGTCAGTGTAAGTATTAACACGAACGTCTGAATAATTAACAGGTGGTAGCAAGCGTTCTCTCATGATCCCTATACGGTTGTACGATCATCTGCCCTACTCTGATTATTCAGGCGCTGATTAGATTTAAACTTCAAGTGTCCTGAAACCATGATTACTAGAACCCTTAAAAGAAACCGATTCAAGCTTTGAAGCGTCCCCGCAAACCTCCAGACCCGCATGCCAGGTGCGAAGCCTAGCTGGCAAAGGAGGCCGAAAGCAGTCCGGGGCTAGGGGCTTGGTTTTGGGTTGAGGGTTTAGGGTTCAGGGTTTAGTAGAGTGTTCGCTGGCACACAATCCAAGCCCATGCTGAAAAGGGTTTAGTATAGGGGCCGAAAGGATTACCGATACTATTTTGTGGGCTCCTTCTTATATTAATAGTATATAATGAACCCCAAAATCCTACTTTAATTATTAAGGCCCCTATATTTCGTTTCCCTAGGGCTCTAAGGACTCACATATTAAAGCTTTTGGGCCCAAAGACCATACTATATAAGGCTTTTGGGCTATTTTGATCCCCAGGGTTTAAGGGAGCTCTGCGATCATAGATCTCGGGCCAACGACCTTCGTTATAGTCCTGGGCGCTGAGCCTTCAGACTTCACCCTCAACTCAGGGGAGGGGTTTTGGGGTATAGGTGGTTTAGGATTGAGGGGTTGAGGGTTTGGGGTTTTAGGGGTTTAGGAGTTTAGGGGTTTAGGTGGTTTAGGGTTGAGGGGTTTAGGGCTTTGAGGGTTTAGCGGCCTAGGAGTTTAGGGGTTTAGGTGGTTTAGGGTTGAGGAGTTTTGGGTTATTGTGTTTTAAGTGTTTAGGGGTTCTGCCCACAAGCCACCTCAACCACCCAAAGCCCTCACCAACCAGAGGGTGCAAGGGGGGGGCTAGGGTCTTATAGTGATCACAAGGATTGAGCATATCCCAAGAGGTCTTCAGGCTACTGTCTAGATGCTAAGCTCAAACCCCAAAACTAGGACCCAGAGTAAGCCCTTATTCCCTTTTTTAGGGTTCTGGTTCCCCTATAACTCCCTTTAAATCAAGAAGGGCACCCTTTTTATTCCTAGGTTACTCTTGGGTCTAGAAAAGGTACCGGACACTAGACCCTGTTCGCAGTGGGGGACCCTGGGCCCTAAACCTTAAAAACATGAACCCTGCAACCCAAAACCAAACGCACAGAAGCCCAAATGCCCTCAGAAAACCTAAAGCCCCAGAAGCTCAAGATGGTTGTGCAGCCATAAAAAGGAGCTCAACAAGAAAGAAGCTCAACAAAAATCATAGAACCCAAGACCCCAAACCCAGAAGCTCAAACACCCCAAGAGGTGGTGCTGCCTACTTGGAACGCGGAGAACTCGCAGCGCGACGCCTCGCTGCCGCGAAGCGGGTGCTCGCAGAGTAGCGCGGTCTGAATCTTTGGGTCTTAGAGCTTTACGGGTTAGGGCTTTCGGGTTTAGCGTTCTACAAGGGTTTGAGCGCGTGTTGAGATAGAGTGTACATTATGGAGCTCCATAAGTCAACACGGCTATGCGGGTTCAGGATGGCTGTATGATCAAGAAGGTTGTATGAGGGCTTTGCAGGCGATTTCTGGTGTAGAGTCAAGCACGGTTTAAGCGATTGTGCAGTAGCTTATGGTGCCTTGCTACGGAGCTTGATTATGATTCAATGATTCAGCGTTTAATTTAGGGTTCTGCAGGGACTTTGAGAGGGCTTCATCATGTTTGCAGGCTTTTGATGTGGTTGTATATGAACACCTTAAACCCTAAAACCTCAAAGACCTTGCCAAGCTTTGTCCGAGTGTGAGTGTCAAAACCTCAATCCGCAAGGTTCCCGCTGGGTTTAGGGGTTCAGGGTTCCGAGACTGAGAGGTTCTTTTGCGCTCCGTGAGGCTCTTTCAAGTTCTCCAGGTCGTTCCGTGGTTTTCACTTCCGGGCTGTAGGGATTAATTAGGGTTTAGGGTTTAGGGTATTTACAAGTCTGTGCAAAAGGGTTTAGGGTATAGACTTCCGGGGTAGGTTCTAGGATTAGGGCTGCAGGGATTTCGGGGTTTATGGCGCTTTCTTTTTCTGTTCTTCCTCATACGAGGGTATAGTATGCAGGGTTGGTTTTGCACTCATGTCTATGCAGCATAGGACTTGCAGGAATCTAGGACGAAGTGTCGAACACCCCAGTATGCCTAGGCACATGCCGGGTGTTCTTTCCATGTCAGCGCAAGCGGGCCCGACAAAATAGGCGGAGTGACAGGCGCAACCAGACCGGTTGATGTAGCACTGATTATGATGCACACCCCCAACAGACAAGCAGCCTTCGAAAACTCGAATCCCCGACAGCCTAACCCTCCAAAATCCCAAAGCCATAACACCCCTACCCCCTCAAACTTCGGAATCTGCCCTCCCCTCCTCCAGAGTCTTGGCAATCGACAGACAAAAGTCCCACAGTCACCATAGTATCATATACCCTATATAACCCTAACACCCATCCTTGTATTATAGGGCTTCTGGGGATCTCAGACTCCTCCGACGAATCAGAGCACGTCTTGACTCGAGCTTGAGGCTTGAAATCCCGAACCTCAAACCGAGCCAAATGCCGAGATGCTAAGGAAGATATCCCTAAACAGTGAACCCTCAGAGCCTTAAACCTAATGCCAAGAATGCCA